AAAATTTCGAAAAAAAATTCTAAGGCTCAGCCACTAGACAAAATAGATCTTTGCCACCGCATTACTTGACCTTAGAGAGCATTGCTGATGCCAGACAACCTTTAGAAGGGCTATGTTCACATCTACACAGTTAGTTTGAGTTGTGCTTGGGCGAAAAGGCTTGAGGGAAAGAGATTAGAAAGATTTTTAAATGACAGATTTTGGCAAAGTTGTTCTTATATTGCCATAAACCACTAGACCTTTGTTCATTTTTAAGGATGTTGGATGTGAGAAAGAAGCCTGCAATGGGTTTCATCTCAATGCATGGAATGAAGCCAAAAGAATGATTGCCTCCAACTTTAGGAGGCAGTGAGGAAGCTTTAGGAATTTGGAATTATTATGATGATAGGTGGAAACTACAGCATTCACCGACACTTGCTGCCGCTGGCTACTTACCTAAACCTCAGTATCAATAGCAGAGAACAGTCTACAAAAACCCCTGAAATAAAGTTGGGATTATATCATGCATGGAATTCGTCTTAATAAGTGATGCAACTTGAAAGATCAATGCTTACTTGCAATTGTTACCTTTTTAGGGAACAAAGAAAGATTTTTTTGATTACAACAAGCAAATATATAATTGCCAAACGATCTCCAGTTGAGTGAGTGGATTTCAATTTGATGATGTGGGACTCCAGGAATACAACGTTTTGCTGTGTGAAGTTTTGGGTTTGACATGGCTCTTCATCTGGCTGTGAAGGAATGGAGTACCTCAACCAAGTGCATACAAAGGAGAGAAATCGCTTCGGTCGACATGAGGATGAAACTCACTGGTGTACCATTATGTATAATAGGAGACTCCAGAGATAGAAATTTTGAAGAAAAAAGGATTAATGGTGGATGAAGATCCTTTGCTTTGCGATGATGGTGGCATCTGATGTTGAGTGGTTGTTAGAGATAAGTTGAGGATGCGTCTGAATTACAAAGATGGAAGATTTTAAATGTTTGATTTTCTTTGATAGCTTAAGCATCCACATCCACCACCAACTCAAAGAACAAATCAAAAAAAAGTATATAATAATATAGTTTTTTTCTTAAACTTTTATTAATGTATTACAATTATTCATTATGATTATTGTTCAAAAATTCTACTATTTAGGAAGAAGGTAAGATAACTAATAATTGAGGAAGAAAGAAGCTGAATTGGGAGATATTGGGACTCTATATGAAAGAAGGGAAGATTGCAGGAGAGCAAGCTCATCATAATGATGATTCAAAAGGAAGACCCCCTTGAGCGATGACTGGATGAGTGATGATAATGCTAATGACAGTGAAGTTACCTTAACTTTTTATGTGATATGTTAATGTCATTGTATTATATTCTATGTCATTTTTGTTTTATAATTATTTACTCATTAGTATAGAACAAAATTATATTATTTTATTAACGCAAATTTTTTTGATGTTTTGAGGCTTACGCCTCAAAATCGCACTTGAGCTTTACGCCTTCGCCTCACGAACGAAAACGCTCAATACCCGAAATACGCAATTTTAAACCTGTCACACGTGTACGCATTAACATACGCATAGTATTACGCAATCACACGCACATTGCAGAAACATTACAGGCAAATTATCAACACGCATAAAGACGCATAGTGTAAGCACTAAGTTAAGGCAACGTGTAACGCATGTGTGTACGCACAAAAGATACGCATGAGTACGCACAGGACACGCATTATTTACTCCGATGGTTAAAATTGTTAGGTTTTATGTTCAAATCTCAACGAAATTTTACATATAAACTGAATACAAGAAAACACAGTGGCATCTTATAGTTAATCAAATATTAAAAAGTTTCGAAGAAGCCATGAACGCATAGAATAAGCTGAAAATGGGAAGATCTTCAGGACCCTTCACGCGAAACGCATAGCAAACCACAAGCGAATAGCGAATACAAAGGAAACATAGGCATTTAAAGTTACCTCTTTTCTTTGGGAGGTACGCCATCTTAGAAGAAATCTGAGGGAAGAATGCTTTGAAATTCCTCCGGTGAATGCTTGAAAGATCGAAAGTTTTACTGTAAACTTGAAAATCGAAACGTCACTCCGCATTCGACCTTTACAAGGGTTTAAATGTTGATTGCCACATTCGGACCATTTTTACTAAGGCGCGCCAAAACGCGGGCAAACTGGGGTCCGAACTGAAGAAAAAATAATTAGGTTAAATTTTTTAAAAAGGCGACGGCCTTAAATATATGAGGCGAGGCGCGCCTTATGGCCGCGCCTCAGTAAAACTGTTGGCGGTAAGCCTCATAAACTAAACTTATTGCGTAGGCTTTGAGGCTTAATTGGTCGAAAATGCGCTGTGGCGCGCCTCAAGTGCGCGGCTATATTTTGGCTCAATTTTAGAACGTTTGACGCTGACTGTTGACTATCTATCGCAACCCTCTACTTTTTTCACAGGACTTGGGACCTGCAATGGCAGTGTTTTTATGTAAATATATAGTTAGTCAATATATTTAAATACAAGTATATAATATATATATATATATATATTACAAGTATATATATATATATATATATATATATAATACTAAATAGTATTAGATATTACTAAATAATATTAATATAAATCTAACCTAACTACCTGAGGGATTCGGTTGGGAGTCGTCGGGCAAGAGGGGCTTTACTTCGGCTCAATCGAAGGCAAGGAGGGTTATGGGAGTCGGCGGATATGGAGGCAAGAGGCTTTGCGGCTTGATTCGACGATGGCGAGGTCGACTGGGTTTGGTAGGGCAGTGGAGGTCGGCTAGATGTTTGCGAACAAGGGAGATGGGGCCGCGAGGTTGACGGGCCAAGTGTGACTGGATAAAGCTGACGGGTCTTGCGAAGCTTGTAGTTTGGAAGATGTGGAGTTGAGACCTGCCGTTATGGGTCTTATAGGGCTCAACTTCCACTTGCGTGAGATCTAGAGTCAGGCTTAGAGGTCGTGGATTGGAGGGAAGGAGAAGGATTTGGATTGTTCAAGTGAGGAGGAGGTAAGGAAAAAAGCTCTCTCTCTCTCTCTCTCTCTCTCTCTCTCTCTGAACGGACAGTTTGCGAACAGGATAAGGGCAGAGTCGTAGTGTCGAGCAGGAGCCGAAGACTCTATTCCTTCTTCCCTTTAAAGAGAGTGGGAGTAGAGTGAATGCGTTAAAGCACGTGTGATCGGACAACTGCGACGTCGTTCGTAGAGCATGGGTAGATACTGTAGCAAAGTGCGGCGGGATTTCTACAATGATATGCGGATGATTTTGATATAGGTAATCATTTTAGAAAAATTTTAATCCCTCTATCCTTTCGTCTCATTATGGAGGTCAACAGACTAGAGCCCGTAAGCTTCCCAATTGCACTTAATCCTTAAGATATGAATCAATAGGATATAATCAAGAGAACACAAAGCCCTCTGTTAGTTAAGGTGAATTCAAATTTGTTCCCTTAGACAAATATTCATCCAAGGTCTACAAGATATCCTTGGACGACGCAACCCATGGCTGCCAACAAGGGTTCTTCTATCAAGTTGGGTCAACTATCTCCTCTGACTAAGTAGACCAGGTACCATGATGGCCCGGGATGACAGAATCGTGGGATCTTGATCGGGCTCATCACCATTTCCCCCGCCATCCATTTTAAGTGAAAGATGGTGAAATTTTCAATTTTAAATGTCAAACTCTCAAATATAAACTCATGTTGCCACTATATGCCAGATAACACGTATCTCTACATATCTATTTGACGACTAGTCTTAATCGAAAGTTTTCTCTCGTGATTGGGAGGGCTAATTAACTATAGGGACTTGCAAATATAGGAAACCAGAACTCATATCTAAATTCTTCACAAATGAGGGCGAAATCTCTGGGTAGTGTCTGTGTCTTATCTACAAACCTAATTTTCCTTCTGAAAATTTACCTCGGAACCTAATCCATTAAAACTTCCCCGAAAGAGTCAGGGGAGGCCGGGGCGTGAATTTTTGGAGCCCACAAGTCTTGACACGAGCATCAGGAAGCATTGACAAAGGGGGCATAGAAGGCTTAGGAAGCGAGACGGAAGACATGCTCCACAAATGAAGGTTGAGGTGGATCGCCATTGAAGTCCATCAATGAAACATGGATGATATGTGGATAAAGCTGGAGAGGGTCATGATAAATTAGTGTAATAGAGATGAAAATCCACAGTCCAAGTAACGATTGAGATGAAGACCAACACGATATCAAACTCGCTGGATGCATCAAATGTGTTGAAACTTGAGAAGGAAGGTGCGAGTAGTGACAGTGAGAGCAGTGAGTGCAATTGAAAGCCATGAATAATAGTTTACGGGAGCCACTAGCACAAGAAGAGCTAATGTAAATGTAAGGGACAAAGCTCGAGTAGGATGGTGCTAGCGACAGGGGAGTGCGAGTGCTAGAAAACCAAACACAATTGCTGCAGTGGAAAGGATGAAGCTCAAGAAGGAAGGCGTGAGCAGCTGTGAGCCTCGAGTGTAGCATGTATGGGGATTTGCTAGACTACAATTACAGATGTTGATTTAATTAATTATCTTTCATAGTATATTTAGGGTTTCAGACTTAACCTCTAATTGACCATCCATTGAAATCCTTTCGATTGTTTCTTTTTTCATTTAATGAGTCATGCCAGGCATGGAAACAAGGCATTAGGACCAACTTATGGTCAATACAACCATGTTTGAGATGAGACCGCTACTACGAGGCCAAAGACTATACGACAGGTTGTTGCTTCTTTCTATTATTTTAAGTGTGTTTAGTTTCTTGATCCAGCTATAAAAGTTTTTTGTTGGTTTTTTTTTTATTATTGTTTTTTGACCTTGGCAAGTGGAGACTATGACAGTGCATGTCTGCAACTTAATTTTTTGTTGCTTGCCGCAAATTGAAAATTTGCATTTTCTTTTTCCTTCTGAATTCTTGTCCCTTGATAGATTATTTTCTTCCATCAGCCACTTACTATCATATTTATTGGTTACAGGTACGGATCATCATCTTCCTCATTTATATGATGTCAATACTTTTCAATGCTATTTATCTTCCAATGTTCAAGATTTGAATATGATTTCACCCATCAATCAGGTCTAAATCTTTTCTCTCATTTACTAGATGATCATTAGTAGATTTATTTTTATTTTTTAATAGAATTAGTGATTTAATTGTATCTACTAGGTTAGATACTCTATATCTGGCAGCTTGTATGTGACGGCCTCAAAAGATGGCTCTGTTCTTTTGTGGGATGGGGTAACTGCACAATGTATACGAAAAATTGTTGGGGCACATGGATTGACAGAGACTACGTGTGCAAGTTTTACTAAAGACCAAAGGTAAAAAACTTATTCTTTGCAACTTTGATCTTCTTTTTAGGCTATTTACTCACATACTATAAAAAATGTTCGTATTTATAAAATTAACACCTATATTTTTTAGATGAACTATCAAATTCATGTATATGCGTGCTATACGAGCAAATCATTGAGAATTTAAAAAAAAATAATAAATATGAGATGGGGTTTTATTGTACTCGTTGGGTGTACGAACTATAGAACCAAAATATTTTTGTAAATAGAGGAAATCAGGTAATAGTTTTGCAAAGAAACTAAATTTTAGTGAGAGTACTTGCCTCCTTTTCATATAACCTTGTTCATTTTTTTCATTTTACAATCCAAGTGCGTTGGTTATTACAAGTTTTGGCCCGAAATTTGTTGATTATAGCTATTTATTTTACTTTATATCGTCTATGATAGATAAGGTGTGTTGTGTCATTTATAATATCTTTCGTTTATAATTTAAAGGTTAGATTCATCAAATGAATTGAACCTGTGAACTTTTGGTCCTTAAAAATAGAACAAAACTGATGTTGAGGGAATGAAAATGGTAACCTATCCTCATAGGCTTTCTTTTGGTGCTCATACTTTGTAATTGAATGATCTAGTTCCGAGATGCTAAATGCATTTCTTAGTTCACTTCAAGAATCTTGTCGCTGATGTTACCTTTTTTTTCTTTTTCAATGAACTCTGTTGTGGAATTACTAGATTTGTACTTTCTTGTGGGAAGGATTCTACTATAAAACTATGGGAAGTAGGAACTGGAAGGCTTGTAAATCAGTATTTGGGAGCAGTTCACACTCAATTACGCTGTCAGGTTGGTTTAAGTTTCAGTTTGTTAATAATTTTGTTGTTATGTCTTTCTATTCTAATTGACAAGGATAGTATGTTCTGCTGATACAAGACCTAGTATCTTTTATTTATGTTTTTTAGAGGTACTATGATCCTTATTCTTGCGTATGTCAAGATAATTTATTCTCTTGAGCAGTGATGGCTGATGTACTGAGTTTTTATGGGAAAAATGCTTGCAGGCTGTGTTCAATGAAACTGAGGAATTTGTTCTATCTATTGATGAGCCAAATAATGAGGTTTGTCATCATGAGATCTTTAGATGTTCAATTACTCAATTTTAGTTATTGAATTCATTTTAGACGGCTGTGACTTGATCTATATTCACCTATAATGGATTGAAACAATAGAGAGTCCAAGCTGGTGAAATTATGGTGCTATTTTTCTAACCTTAGACTGACTACTTGCAGGTGGTGATATGGGATGCATTAACTGCTGAGAAGGTAGCGAGGTGGCATTCTAATCATGTTGGTGTGCCTAGATGGTTAGTACACTCTCCAACTGAACCAGCTTTTATTACTTGTGGAACTGATAGGTCTGTCAGATATTGGAAGGAGGTCTTGTGAGAGCTGCATTATGAATAGAATTGGCAGAAGAAGGGGTTTTTATGATGTAAATTATATATTAGAACCTAAAATCATTTTTTTTTTTTTAGAAAATAAGCTGTTTGCTTTGGCATTCTTATGAATTTTGATAATGAGTTAGCTTTGTTTGGCTTGAAATATTGTACATTTTCAATTTATAATATAATAACTAATAAATTTTTTATTATTAATTAATAATATATATTATTTAAAATTTTAAATAAGTTTGTTAAATTTAATAACTGAAATGAATTGATGGTTCATTTAAATTAACTTTTTAATTAATTATTGTATCTTAACCGTTATAAATTTTTCATATATTTACCAAAACAATATAACCTCCTTGATGGTCATTTTCTATTAAACTAGCTCCAAGTTCATTTTTCTTCTTATTAAAGTTATTTATTTTTTGAGCAAGTAGTTGATGCTTATGCTTTGATTGAAAATATTGCTAGCCTCGTGGATAAAAAAAAACATTGTATTTATAAAGCAAAAAAAAAAAGCACTGTTGATAAATATTTTTAAAAAATTTATAAAGGCAAAGATGCAATAATTAATGAAAAATAATCCGTCGAGCATACCGGCCCCTTACAAATTTCTGGGAAGAAAATTATGACAATCCTGATTTCTGTCATTTGTATTAGGGCATTAAAGATGAACCATCTACTTTGCATATGAAATTGAAATGCAATTGTACTTTATATTTTATTAATATGGCTTCAGTAAGTCAAAATATTCTTATGAAAATTATGACTGAAGCAAGTAACATTCTGAAGATTATCTCCAGCATAAATAAATTGTATTTTCTTAACAAGACTAGAAAAATCTCCAATAAAATGATAAACATCAACTACTTTGAAATTTTCATAAAATAAAAAGGTAACTTTGTATTGAAAAAATAGAAAAAAATCATTTATGATATTCTACGATATTGATAAAAATATAAAATATAGATAAAATTTAGGTGCAAGCTTCTATAGTTAATTACCCCTCCATATAATGAGAGAGAATTTTCGATTAAGGCCAGTCATCAAATTGATACATAGTATGTATAGTAGCAACATGATTTATATATTCAAAAATTTAATATTTAAAATTAAAAATTCGCCACTTTACAGTTAAAGTGGATGGTCCGGGAATGATGATAGACCCAATCAAGATTTCATGGTTTCGTCGTCCCGAGTGATGATAGCCTATAGTTTACTTAGTCAGAGGAGGTAGTCAACCCAACCTGATAGAATGATTCTTGTTGGTAGCCATGGATTGCTTCGTTCAAGGGTATCTTCTAGACTTAGAATGAATATTTGTCTTAGGGGACAAATTTGAATCCAATGTCTGAATCATCTTCTTTTGAGCTCAAGAGGTTTCCCCAAGTTGTCCCCTTCCAGTTGGCATCCATCTAATGGCTTGCCCGAGCCATCCTGGTCGTCTATGGAGACGGGGTTCACATAGATAGGGCACTCCATTCCAATTCACCTCATTCATTCCCAAGCTTTCCAAAATCACCCCCGAGCTCTCGAAGCATTTCTCTTCATTTCCCCATCTTCCAAACCTCTTTCATCTACTATCCCGAGCAAACTCCAGCAGAAGCTCTCCACCTCCCACTTGAACCCTACTTATAATGATCCTCTAACAAATACTTCTGAAGGAGAATTGCTCGTCTTCATCCCCTGAAGCTTCTCAATAGAAAAACTCATTCATTGAGGATTTCTATATAGTAAGATTCCATTCCTAAGCACCGTGGTTAGGCAGTCTAGTCAAGTTTGAAGAAAACTTCCAATCCAATAGATTTTAACCATTGGATTGAAATCTTTCACCATTCTGATCCTTCTTATGAAATTTTAAAGGAGCTCACTGTCGGAATCTCTCTGATTTCGTTAGAGAAGCTATACGGATTCAGGTCTATGCGGGAGATTGAAGAAATAATTCTTGCCATTGATTTCAATCAATGGTTTGGATTATATCCCACGATCTCGGAGTCTGTTTAATCAAGGTCATCTACTCTACGATCCAATGGTTACATTCAATCCCACATTTATACCGTCACCCGCAATGACTGCTGAGTAATAGGATGGCACTTGCGTGCAAAAATGTCGACTGACTATGTAAATATGGATTTAATTTCAAAGGAAATTGAGGGAAACTTTTAAAAATTAATATATCCCAATCTACTAGATCAAATTAAGAGTTCTTTAGCTCATTAGAAGGATCTTAGGGAGATGTTTAAAAGTCCTATGGTTCCAAGCCCGAATTTTGTATGTTTATATCTTAATTCTAGTAATAGCATTTATAGTACTTTAGTAGTTATGGCTAAATTATGTATTCCCATGGCTTGGAACTTTGAGAGATTTATTTTGGGCATGTTAAACATGTACGCAGAATTTCTCCCACCTGTTTGATGTGATTAAAGGCATATTCATTCCATTTTATGCTTAGGGGTCATGGTTTGACTCCCTAAGTTCAAATTGATGCAATGATCTATCAAATAAGATTCAGGTTTTGTGATTTGGTGTGGTAATTATGCTTATGATAGGGAGTTTAGAGCCGCTTATTGCACCTCCTCCCTTGCCTTAGGTACTGATTTAGGATTTTTTTAAGATAACCTAGAGGTTACCTTTGGTGGTTTTTCAACCATCTTAGGGTATTCAACTTGAGCCCAAATTTATTGGGCTTGGGCCTTGAGATTAGGTGAACTTATGGCCCAAGTTTCACAGGAATTGGCACCCACTTTGTCCACCAACTAGGGAACCCAAAATTAGCCCATAGATTTGACCTAGAGCCATAATTATTTCATTTTAATTTCTAAAATTCTAAATAAGGTCTCTAATTTCTCATTATTGAACCCTAAACCCATGAAAAATAAAAGCCTTATGATCAGACCTCCAATTTAACATTAATTTACTTTTAAGGAAAAACTATAATTAATTAGTTTTACTAATTAAAAATATTTAAAAAATCCAAAAAAAATCCTAAATAATTTGAAACATCCTCTTAGGTCATGTCTGACCCATGGGGGTGATTCCAAGAGGTATGGGACTGATTTGGATCAAAATCCAAAAGTCTCCTCTAATTAAACAATTTTCAAAATTCCAAAAATACTCAAACTTTAAAAAATCACAATTAATTTTATTAAAAAAATCTAATTTAATCAACTTAATGCCATTCAACTCCAATAAAAATATAGTATTTTCTAAAAATTATAAATCTCTAAAATTAATTTAAAGTAAAAAAAGTCAACTTTCTAATCAACCATAGTTCAAAACTTCACAAAATCATAATTTAATGTAAAAAAATTCCAAATTAAGCAAGCTTAGAGTATAATTACTCATCTTAAGGTCTAATATTTATGAAAAATATTACAAATCTTGAAATCATTTTAATTTAAGAAGTTAGCTTTTGACCCTTCATATAATGCATTAAAATAATTCCATGATTTCAAAAATTAATAATTTACTTAAAATTCTAGAAAATTATAATTAGTTCGTTCAAACTAGTAATTAATCAATTAATTTAAATTTATCAACCCTTAATCCTCAACCAATTAAATTAGCTTAATCAATGCCAGTTCTTATTGGGTAACCCGGACCTATTAAGCTATTAACTTAGCCCCAATGAAGGTAAAATAAACTTCACGGCACCGATGAGCAATAAAGGTAATAACTATTTAATAATTAAAATATACCTTACATAAGCTTTAAGGCATTAATATTAAAACTCAAACATTAATTTTTCCTTTGACCTTTAACCTTTACACTAGTTAACTTCAACAAATTACCCAATTTAGGATATACCCAAGCCGCATAACCTACCTCACACACCTTAAATGGTTTGTTAGGACAACTAAATCTAGATCTAGGCTAGTCCAGTGTTTATTTTTCTATCACTTGTGTGCCAAGTTTCCCAAGTTTTCATTATATATTATGTTTGAAAATTGATTGATGTGTGTTTATTTTGTTTAACTGTAATCTATGATGTGATGGGTGATAGATTATCCTTAGGTTAGGAATGATTTAGTTGCTCAATGAGTCTTTTATAGGTGGTCATGCTCGTACATGGCTAAAATCAAAGGGTGGAGTTTATGATTTAACTGACATATTTTTATATAGGTGCTAAAAGTGATTAAGTCCCCCTTGAAATCAAAAGATTGTGGCCAAGTGTGATATTATTTTAGATTAAGCATATATAGAAACTGCTTGGGATACATTTTATTTTAAATTACATAGGATAACCTTGTAGGAGAGTATAAATTTTTATTTCATGTTTGATGTAATTTGATTCAAAGTCAAGAGTTATAAAAGTTATTCTTTGAGCTGGGATTCATAAATTCAAAATTAGATTACAAATAGGAAAGGACATCCCTTTAGGGAGAGTCATTTTTCATTAGGAAGCCCAAATTTGGATTCCTTTAATACCCAAAGAGGAAATAATAACATCCCTCTTAGAGGGAGAGTTTTCTTTTAATTTGGGTATCTAAATACAATGAATCCAAAGAGCCCAAAGAAGAGAAGGATGAAGAGTTGAAGATAAAGAGCATCCCACTGAAAGTCAGTTGCGTATGTCCTAGGATTAGAATCCATATTTATTGTCAGTGGCGCCCAGCCATTTTTAATTTCTATAAATTATGTGTTGTAATAAACAGGCATTTGCCTATAGGCATTTAAATTATTTATTTATTTTGATTATTGGATAGATTGTTTTATTTTGATTGTGATTAAGATTGTCTTCTTTTCTTAATTTTTTTTGGCAATTTACATGTCGTGTTTTGATTTAGTCTAGATACAATCAGAGGCTTGTGAGGGTACGAATAAAAATGTTAGTCTACTTAAAATTAAAAATAAAAATTTTAGGCTCACATAGAAACTCTAACGATCTAAGAAGTAAGCTTGGGATTATTGGGAGTTCTCATTTATGCATATTAATTACTACTCATCCTTGTTAGTCACGTAGTCGCCTGCGAGCTCTAGTAGGACACTTGACCTATTATGATACAATATTGTCAAGGGGATGTTATGCAATCTCTAAGGAAAAAGATATTTTTAAGCCTTATTAAAACTGCAACATATCATTTTTATGCATTTTTCCATGTTAATCAGCATGCATCCCATTAGAAATTAAGTAAAAGAGTCTAAATTTTAATT